CCTACCTCCCCACCTACACTCACCTTTCCTGGCTCCATCCCCGCCTCTTCGACCTGTTTGTTTCCTCTCCACCTATCCTCTCCTCTATCCCTCTTCTATCCGCCTCCCACTCTCTCCCTATTTATTTCAAAACCCCCTTCCCCTCCCCCTTTTCTGATGAAGGGTCTAGGCCCGAAACGTCAGCCTCTCTGCTCCTATGATGCTGCTTGGCCTGCTGTGTTCATCCAGCCCTGCACCTTGTTGTCTCTGTGCAAGTAGAGTTCATTTATGATTATAAGCTTTGCTTGGGTAAAATATTTGCAGTATTTTTGGTGTACTTTCTTCAATATAGAACATTGGGTATATTCCATGGTTAGCACCGCCATTGGTTATTTATATCCAGAGTGAACTCAATAGACCAGCAAAATTGGGAAAAAAATCGTATAGTTTGGGCTCCAGTCAGCCTCGGCCTTCGGCTCCAGTCAGCCTAGGCCTTTGGCTCCAGTCAGTGTAGGCCTTTGGCTCCAGTCAGTGTAGGCCTTTGGCTCCAGTCAGTGTAGGCATTTGGCTCCAGTCAGTCTAGGCCTTTGGCTCCAGTCAGTCTAGGCCTTTGGCTTCAGTCCGTCTGAGGTTTGGGCTCCAGTCAGTCTGAATTTGGGCTCTAGTCAGTCTAGGTTTTGGGCTCCAATCAGACTGGGGATTAGGCTTCAGTCAGCCTGGGGTTTGGGCTCCAGTTAGTCTAGAATTTGGGCTTCAGTCAGTCTGGGCTTTGGGCTCCTATCAGTCCAGTCTTGGGTTGCAGTCTGTCTGGGTGTGGACTGTCATCAGTGTGGGTCTTGGGCTGCAGTCTGTCTGGGACATGGACAGCAGTCAGTCTGGGTCTTGGGATGCAATCTATGTGGGTTGTGGACTGCAGCCTGTCTGGGGAGTGAATTGCAGTCAAACTATGTATTGGCCTGCAGTCAGTATGGGTCTTGGCCTGCAGTCAGTATGGGTCTTGGCCTGCAGTCAGTATGGGCCTTGGCCTGTAGTCAGTATGGGTCTTGGCCTGCAGTCAGTATGGGTCTTGGCCTGCAGTCAGTATGGGTTTTGGCCTGCAGTCAGTCTTGGCCTGTAGTCAGTATGGGTCTTGGGCTGCAGTCTGTCTGCGACGTGGACTGCAGTCTGAGTTTTAGTCTCAGTGTGGCATGGACTTCCCTTTTTCTGGGTCTTGCAATGCAATCTGTCTGTGGCATGGACTGTAGTCTGTCTGGCATGTGGATTGCAGTCTGTTTGGGGCTACAATCAGTTTGGGGTTTGACTGCAATGCAATAAGAGATAGAAGCAGAAGTTGGTTATTCAGCCCATCATATCTGCTCTGCCATTCAATGAGAGCCCGGCTGTTCTGTTAATGCTCAACTCTATTTTCCTGTCTTTGGCCCATTAGTGATTAAAATGTGGATTTATCTCAGTCCTGTGAAAATGCCCTTCTTATCCTATCTCTCTGTCTTCTATTAGTTAAGTGAATCCTCTATCCGTGCTAATATATTCCCTCCAACACCATGGGCTCCCAAGTAGCCGAATAGGTGCTATCTAATCAAACACCTTCTGAAAATCCAAATACGTTACATCCACTGTTTCTCCTTTAACTATCCTGCTTGTTGCCTCCTTAAACAAAGACGATGGCCTAATGGTATTATTGCTAGACTGTTATTGCAGAGACCCAGCTAATGTTTGTAGACCTCAGTTGAAATCCTGCTATGGCAGATAGTAGAATTTGAATTCAATAAAAAAAAACTGGAATTATAAGTCTAATGGTGATTATGAGCCATTGTTGATTGTGAGAAATACCCGTTTGGTTCATTAATGTCCTTTTGGTAAAGAAGCTGCTGTCCTTACTTGGTCTACATCTGACTCCAGACCCACAGCAATGTGGCTGACTCTTAATTGTCCAATGGGCAGTAAACGCTCGCCTCGCCAGTGAAGCCCTTATCCCATGAATGAATATCTCCTTAATGCTGACTCTGCTTGGTTATATTATGTATTTCTTAAGGCTCTGCTCTTACATGCAAGTGCAGTTAGTCCAGGGCTTGTACTTCAGTCACTTCAACTTTGGCTTCAGTCAGTCCAGGGCTTGGGCTGTAGTCTGTCTGGAGCTGGACTCTAGTTGCTGCAGGGCTTATGCTCCAATCAGTCCAGTGTGTGTTTTGTCCAAGGCATTGACCTGCTCTGTAGCTCACAGATGGGGCATTAACCAATGATTTTTGTGTAGGACGAGGGATTGGTCACTATTATTGGGGGCAGTTGAATGTGGTAGGGTGGGAACTGGTTGAGGGTTGTGGAGCTATGGAACACAAAGAAAGTCAGGGTGTATATGGCCTTGATGAGGAGAGAGAAGAAGGTTATCAGGGGATAGGGACACGTACAATGAGGGACTTGGTGGGCAAGATGTGAACATCAATTCTGACTTTGCAGTGTCTTGAAGAAATAGGGAAGTGATAAATTGTTGTGGAAGCAACAGAGGTTAAAAAAATGGTGAGGAATGAAGAGATTGGGGCATCTGGTGATTACCAGGCAGAGGCTAGCATTTAAAACATTGCACAAAAAGAATGAATCTAACTTTTGTTTCATGATTTCTTGTTTCTTTCAATTTCAATTAGGATACCGCCAAATTGGAGATTATTTTGGGCTATGTTGGGCTTGCAGTGTTGCAGCTTTGTAATTCTGTCTAACTGAAGGGGCACCTCATTAATCATGTGTCCAGTGGATGTAGAATCTTCACATAATCAGCACTTTACAGCATCATCAGATCAGATGGAGCTTCCGTCTCCAGCATTAAAACTCTCAGGACATTTCCTTTATACAACACTACACACGGGGCACAGGAGATGTCCATCCTTTTCCTGCATTTAATCTGGGTCATTTGTGCTGCCACACGCCCCAGAACTGCAATCTTACTCCAGGCCAGCTGCTTATAAGAAGAAAGCTTCCGGGTACTGTCCTCAGGAAGACAGCCTTCATGCTTTCCCGGACGACCTCAAATCTAACTTCTAGAGAGGCATCACTAAGTCTTGGGCCAACTTTTACTTCTTTTTACTTCTAATTTATGACTTCTGTCATTAATTTAGGTACCATGATATGGCCAATCATAAAATTTTTCTCTGTATTTTTTGTAAAAATACACATGACAATAAATTGGTATTCTATTCTATAAACGTAAGCCCTCTCTGAACATCTCTGAGAAGGCAACCATCACAGGCTCCAATGATGCTTTTGGCTTGCAGAGAGCGAAGGGTGCCCGGGTGACCTTTAAATACAGCCCCAAAGCCTTCAACTCTGGAAGGTCTGGTTGAGAGGCCAAATTTCTTACCTGAACCACTCTATGTGATTCAACATTTAAGGTTTTGGAGTAGCTTTTTCAGTTGCCTCCATTTGACATTGCCAGCTTGTTGGAAGTGATAGTTACTTTAAAAGTGAATTCCATACAAACCTTATCAGCATTACGGGAAGCCACTGCAAGTTCCTTTTCTTTTCCTGCTAGTTCTTTGGAGAGAAGAGCGACTGATTCAGTTGCCTCCATGAGCTTGGAAAGACCTGTAATCATGTGTTCAGTCTGATTAAAAACAAATGTCCCTCACAGAAGTTTCCTTTTTTTGATTTACTGAAATTAAGGCTGACTATGGAAATGTTTTCACAGAGTCACAGAATTGTTATAGTGTAGAAGGGGGACATTTGGCCCATCGTGCCTGCACTAGCTCTTCAAATGAGCAATTTTACCTCTGCCAATCTCCTGCTTTTCCCCTACACCCTTGTGCATTATTTCTACTAAAATAACCATCTAATGCCCTCTTGAATGCCCCTATTGAACCTGCCTCTACCAAATTTCCAGGAAGTACATTCCATGCCATTACTAATCACTGAGTGCAAAACATTTTTCTCACATTATCCTTGCTTTTGCACATCACTTTAAATCTATGCCCATGTTCTTGTTATTTCTATGAGCAGGAACATCTTTTCCCTATCTTCTCTGTCCAACCCGCTCACGTTTTTGAAGACCTCTGTCAAATCTCCTCTCAGCCTTCTTCCCTTCAAGGTGAACAGTGCCAACTTCCTCAATTTAACTTATAGTAAGAAGTTTCTCATTCTGGAACCATTTTAGTAAATTGCTTCTGTACTCTCTCCAATACATTCACATCTTTCCTCTAAGGTGGCAACTGTACACAATATTCCAATAATAAGTGTCTTATCCAAGTTCAACATCACCTCCATGTTCTTGTACTCCATGCCCCCATTATAACAAAGTCAAGGCCAAGATATGCTTTATTAACTGCTCTCTCCAACTGTCTTGCCATCTTCAATGATTTGTGAACATATATACCTCAGGACCCTTCGTTCCTCCATCACTTTAGAATTGTACACCTATTTTATACTGCCTTTCAATGTTCTATTAATCAAAGTACTAACCTCACACTAACCTCATCTGCTACAATCCACCCACTTATCATGTCTTTTTGGATTCCACACTATCCTCCTCACAGTTTATAATTCATCAAAGTTTCATGTCATCTGCAAACTTTGAAATTGTTCCCTGCACACCAAGGTCTAGGTCATTAATGTAGATCAGAAAAAGCAGACGTCCCAAAACCAAAAACAAAGGAACTCCACTACAAACCTTCCTCTAACCTGAAAAATATCCATTAAATATTACTCTGTTTTTTTTTATCAGTCAGTCAACTTTGTACAGACATTGCTAGTGCCCTTTTTATACCATGAAATATAACATTCCTCATAAGTCTAATGTGTGTGACACTGTAACAAACTTTTTTTAAAATCCATTGATACCACATCAACAGTTTGGAAGGTGTTGTCTAAGCATCCTTGGTGAATTTTTGCAGTCCATCTTGTAGATAGTTTACTCTGCTGCTACTGGGCGTCAGTGATACAGGGCCAGAATGCTTTTGGATGTTGTGACAGTCAAGCAGGCTGCTTTATCTTGGATGGTGTCAAGCTTCTTGATTGTTTTTGGAACTGCACTCATCCAGGAAAGTAGGGCATACTCTATCACACTCCGACTTGTTACTTGTAGATGTTGAGCTTGCTTTGGGGAGGCAGGAGGCAAATTACTTGCTGTAGGATTCCTTCATCTCCACAAGGACTGTGCAGTGGTCACTCCTACTAATACTGTCACTCACTGATGCATCGACAGCATCCCTGGGCATATTCTGACCCACCATGAGGACAGACCCAGCAGAGGTGGTGGAAAAGTGCTTTAGTGTCGGGAGGGAATTGCTTGTTGACTCCAGAGCCCATAAACTCACAAAACATCAGGTTGAACACGAACAAAAAAAATTCTTATTGATTAACACCTACCACTACATCTCTTAGCAGAAGTAATGGTACTCTTCCATATTGAGCACCATTGGAGGAAATACTGAGGGTGGGACTTAAATGTCCATCAGAGTGGTTCAGAAGCGCCACTACTGACTGAACTGGCTGAGATCTAAGGAACATTACTTCTAGACTGGGTCTGTGCAAGTGCTGAGGGAACCATTAGGAAGGAAATACACACATGACTTCATCCTCACCATTCTACATGTCACAGATGTACCCATCCATGACAGTATCATTTCAAGTGTCCAATACATAGTCCTTGAAGAGACAAAGTCCTTTCTTCACATAGAGGATACTTTCCATTGTGTTCTGTGGCACTACTGCTGTGCTAAATTGGACAGACTTTGAACAAATCTAGCAACTCAAAACTGGCTATCTGTGAGGCGCCGTGGGTCAACAGCGGCAGCAGAAGTGTATTCAACCACATTCTGTAACCTCATGGCCCAGCAAATCTATCAGCCTACCACTAACACCAAGCCAGGTTCAATGAAAAGTGCAGGAAGGTATGCAAGGAGCAACAGCAGATTGTCAACTTAGTGAAGTACGAACACTACTACTTGCATGCTAAGTGAGATAAGCAATTAAACAACTCACAAGGGGAGAGGTCTGTACAAGTACAATAAATACGTGCTTAACAAATTATAGATTTCCACACTTAAAGATGCCCTATCACAGCTTTCATAAGGAAACTAAATGCACTCTCTCTTGCATTCCAGAACGAATCTGCAAAATGTACACATCATGAAGAAGGTGTTTCTTTCTAATGACATGACACAGGTCCAACACATTTTAAAATAGTTATGGAGGACAAAACTGGTCCACAGGTTCAAGTTCTAAATTGGGGAAAGTTGAATTTTGATGGAATTAGACAGGATCTTTCAGGGATTAATTGGAGCAGTTTGTTTGCAGACGAAGGGACCTCTGGCAAGTAGGAGGCCTTTAAAAGTGTGATAGCTAGAGTTCAAGGTCTACATGTTCCTATGAGGGTGAAGGTCAAGGTTGGCAGGAATAGGGAACCCTGGATGACAAGAGATATTGAGGCTTTGACCAGAAAAAGGAGGAGGCGTGGCTCAGGTATAGGCAGCTGGGATCAAGGGAATCCCTGGAGGTATGCAGGGGATACAGGAGTTTACTGAAAAATGAAATCAGAAAGATGAAAAGGGGGCATGAGATAGTTTTGACTGAGAAGATTAGGGTGAATCCAAAGAGATTCTTTAAGTACATTAAGCAAAAAAGAATAACTACAGAGAGAATAGGACCCCTCAAGGACGAAAGTGGAACCATAGGAGATGGGCGAGGTCCTCAATGAATATTTCTCCTCTGTGTTTACCGTGAGAAAGACATGAAGACTTTAGAACTTGGGGAAGTTAGTGGCGATATCTTGGGGACAGTCCATATCAAAGTAGAGGAGGTGTTGGAAGTATTAGAATGTATGAAGATGGATAAATCTCCTGGTCTTCACCAGATATATCCAAGAACCCTGCAAGAGGCTAAAGAAGAAATTGCAGGGACTCTAGCTGATATATTTGCATCATTGTTAGCCACAGGTGAGGTCCTGGAAAACTGGAGGGTAGCGAATGTTGTACCCTTATACAAGAAGTCCTGTAAAGAAAAACCTGAGAATTATACGGAAAAGATATATATGCATTTGGAAAGACAGGGTTTGATTAGGAATTGTTGGCATGGCTTCGTGTGTGGGAGATCATGCCTCACAAATACATTAGAGTTCTTTGATGAATTGACCAAGAAGGTTGATGAGGGCAGGACGGTACATGTAGTCTATATGGATTTCAGTAAGGCCTTTGATAAGGTTCCACATGGTTGCTGCTCTGGAAGGTTAGATTGCATGGAATCCAGGGAGAGCTGGCAAATTGGATACATACAATTGGCTTGATGGTAGGAAGCAGAGAGTAATAGTGCAAGGATGAGGTCTGTGACTAGTGGTGTCCTTCAGTGGTTGGTGCTGGGCCCATTGCTGTTTGTTATCCATATCAATGATGTGGATGAGAACGTACAAAGCATGACTGGTGAGTTTGCGGATGACACTAAAATAGATGGTATTGTGGACAATGAGGAAGGTTATCAAATATTGCAGCAGGGTCTTGATCAGCTGGAGAAGTGGGCCAAGGAATGGCAAATGGAGTTTACTATAGATAAGTGCGATGTTGCATTTTGAAAAGTTAAATCAAGGAAGGAGCTTCATGGTGAATGGTGGGGCCTTAAGGAATGTAGTGGAACAGAATGTACATCCATCGGCTTTCTGCATTCCGCAGTGAAGGATGGCGGTCTAGGCATTCCATGCCTATCGCCAACTATACCAGTCGAAAAAGTGAAGAGAATGGAGAGACTTCTGTTGAAGGACATCCCATGGGTACGGGCGATGGCGATGTTGGACTCCTTCCAACCCGTGATTAGAGAGATGTCCAAAGTGGGCAGGATCGGGAAATGGCAAGTTAATAATACGCAAGAAACTAAGGACTGTTGGAAAGAATGTATGATGAGCCACGCCGATTGCAAGACCCTGAAGGGGCTTAAAGTTGATCACGTTTCGCATAGGTGGGTTACCAACAATGGAAAAATATTTCCTAGATTGTTTATCAGGGCGACCCAGCTGAGGAGCGGGTCGCTCTCAACGAAAGTAAGGAGAGCGAGGGGTGGCCGTGGAACTGAGGACAATAAATGCAGAGGAGACTGTAGGAAGCCAGAAACGCTCAGCTACGTCTTGCAGAGTTGCTCCGTGACACATGATGCACGCGGCATAACCGTATCATGAAACAGCTGGTACGGCAGCTTCGTCATGTGACAGAGGGTGCAATAGTGACGGAACCTAGGATACCCCTTCAAATGTTGTTCTGCAAGCCTGACATCGTGCTGGTTGAGGATGGCACAGCCTATGTATTTGACGTAGCAGTGCCCTTTGAATCCCGTTTACTTGGACTCTGAAATATGAGAAATACTGGGGTGACAGGGTGTTGGCCGCTATGCGGAAACATCTGATAGCACTGGACTACAGGATTGGGGCCGTGAAACAGATTCCGGTGGTCATCTCCAGCCGTGGCCTCATCCATATTAAGAGCATGGCAGACCTCAGAAAAATCGGTGTCTCCAAAATATCCATCGGGAAACTGTAACTACAACTATGGCCGGCAGTATTAGGTGCTATGACACCTATATGAGAGGAGCCAATGGATGAAGGTTGTGATCCAGTAGCCCTGTCTCTCAACCTGGGCCTTCTCGTCCCACAGACAATCTACATGATGAGCAGCAATGCCTGAAACTGTATTCCTCTTTCGACAATAGCACTTAGGTACAACTCGGTAAGGATTGCTTCCTGACTAGAAGTGGCCTTACCAAATAAATGTAATAGCCAAATGCCTCGTCATCTAATTAGTGACGTGCATGATTGGATGAACGAGATTCCCACTGTCCCTACCTACTATCTAGCAAAACCATAGCCAAGGGAATGGGCTCAGCAGAATCATCGGGGAAAGAAGACCCTGTTGAGCTTGACTGTAGTCTGGCACTGTGAAGAGACATGAGAGGTGTAGAATAAGTGGGAGGCCTTGGCCTCCCACTTGGAATTTAAGCGCATAGATCTCTGAATGTGCAGTCACACGTAGACAGAGATTGAAAAAGTGTTTTCGCACACTGGCCTTCATCAGTCAGAGTACTGAGTATAGAAGTTGGGAAATTATGTTACAGTTGTACAGGGCGTTGGTGAGGCCGCATTTGAAGTACTGAGTTCAGTTTTGGTCACCTTGCTGTAGGAAGGATGTTATTAAAGTAGAAAGTGTGCAGAAGAAATTTGCAAGGATATTGCCAGGACTCATAGGACTGAGTTATAGGGGAAAGTTGGATGAAGTAGGCCTTTTTTCTTTACAGCGTAGGAGACTGAGGGGGGATCTTATAGAAGTGTATAAGATCATGAGAGGCATTGATAGGGTGAATGCACTCAGCCTTTTTCCCAGGGTTGGGAAATCGAGGACTAGAGGGCATCAGTTTAAGGTAAGAGGGGAAGGAATACATGGGGCCCTGAGGGGCAACTTTTTTACATAGAGGGTGGTACGCATATGGAATGAGCTGCCAGCAGAAGTGGTTCACGCGGGTACATTAACAACATTTAAAAGACATTTGGATGAATGCATGGATAGGAAAGATTTAGAAGGATATGGGCCAAGTGCAGGGAAATGAGGTTAGCATGGATGGACATTTTGATTAGCATGGACCAGTTTGGGCCAAAGGGTCTGTCTCCGTTCTGTAGAACTCTATGACTCTGTGACTCTATACAAATTGGCAACAAAAAGAGAAATTGCTGAAGAAACTCAGCAGGTCTGGAAGCATCTTTGGAGTGAAAGCTAAGTTAACATTTTGAATCCAGTGACGCTTCTTCAGACCCCTTCTGAAGAAGGGCAACTAGACTCAAATGTTAACTCTTCTCTCTCTCCACAGATGCGGCCAGACCTGCTAAGTTTCTCCAGCAATTTCTCTTTTTGTTTCTGATCTTCAGCTCTGCAGTCCTTTATTTTATATTAACTACAAATTTGTCCCTGGATGTATACTTACCCAGTTGCATGTGCTCTGCTAGGTCATTGATGTTTACATGTTTCTCTTTGTAGATAGTTTTGTAGCTGTTTATAAAAGCAAGATAGGATTTGGGAGTTATATGTGTTCTTCGACGATATCTGAAAAAAACAGACACAGAAATTGCTTTTACTGTATAGACATTTATAATATATCTCGGAAACAATGAAACATTTGTGGCCTCACATACGTTTTGACATCTGTGTTGGAGTCATAGCGTCATACAGCATAGAAGCATGCCCTTTGGCCCACCATGTCATTGGCGACCAAACTACACTAATCTCATTTACCTGCACATGATCCATAGCCTACTCTTCCCTGGCATTTTGAGTACTCATCCAGATGTCTCTTAAGTGTTGTGAGGTTATTTGCCTCTACCACCCTCTCAGGTGAAAACATTTTTCCTCAGATCTCATCTAAACCACTTAGCCCTCACCTTAAATTTATATTCTTTGGTTTTAGACATGTCTGCCATGGGGAAGCAATTCTCACAACCTACTCTGTCTATGCACCTCTTAATTTTGAATACCTCAATCAGATCCACCACCAGCTCCCACCCCCCCACCACCGCCCCCCCCCACCCGCCTCCCCTCACTCTCCTCTGCTCCAAGGAAAACAAACCCAGCCTATCCAGTCTCTCCTCATAACTGAGCCTTTTCATCCCAGGCAGTATTCTGGTGAATCTCCTCTGCACCTCTCCAGTGCAATCTGGAACTGCACACAGCATTCCATCTGTGGCCTAACCAATGTTTTATAAAGTTTATAATGTTTCATGAACAGGATTTCCTTTCTCCTATATTCTATGCCTCATTAAATTAATTATTTTTAGATTGTCTATTATTTACAACTCATTCTGCTTAAATATATCATTCACGGAAACATAACCATTTGGCTCTGAAAGTTTATTTAAACCATCAATCAGTGTTCCCTCTGTAATAAGTTTAGATTTTCTTCTCTCATGCCACTGCTTCCAAAAATATGATGGGACACAATTTCCACTGATCTGTCATCCAATTGACCTGTAGCAATGAGGAGGATCAATGATATTCTTCAGGATAGACACATTTCAGGATGGATGAATGCTTTGATGTTTGCACAACACTTGGATTTGGTCATATGAATTTGTTCAGTTTTGTGACTCACAGATTCAGAAGTCATTTAGTAGTTCTGAGGAAGTAGGGATACAAGAAATGCATTCACCGATTTCCAACAAAATAACCTTCAGTGACTAAAAACAACTTTGAAACTAAAGTATGAAAGATAGATTTAGAAAATGAAAACTGCCAGTTTAATTCCTTATCTATAAACGATCTAGGGCAGTATACAAATTGTAAAATTACAGAATTATTATAGTGAAGAAGGCCATTTAGCTCATCACGTCTGCACTATTCACCAAATCAGCATCATGATTAGCGCCGTTTGCCCACCCTTTATCTATGCCCCTGTACTTATACTTTACAATAGGGGGTAAGAAGCTGTCATTGTCCATGACAGAGCTCAGCTGTGTTGCGTGCTACAAGTCAGACTAGACCTGATTGATAAAAAAACAGAAATTGCTGGAAAAGCTTGCAGGTCTGGCAACATCTGTGGAGAGAAATAGGAGTTAACGTTTCAGATCAAATGACACTTCCTCAGAACTAGGGTCCTCCAGCACCTCAGAACATGCTCCAGGGCAACACCACATGCATTTCTTGTCTACAGACACTAGCAGCTGACACCTGCCCATCTCCCTGAGCTCTCATGGTGTTTCCCTGATGCATTTGCAGGAAGATCGTGCACTTCACTGCTGCACCTGCATTGAAATGCTGCTACATGGACACTCTGTGTGCTGGATCAAGATGCATCTCAGAGCTGTCAGCTTGCTATCTTCATACTTATGCTCATTTACTTTGAGCCTATCTGGATGCCCATAGCATCTCCACTTTGCCTTGCCTTTGCTCCTCAGCCTGGAGTCAGAGGCTCACAGTACTTCTGTCTTTCTTTGTTGTTTAGTGCATACACAAAGCGCTCAGTCACATCAAGGGAGAGAGCCTTCAGTCAAAGGGTCCCAGCACAGTAAATCAAGGGCAGCCTCCAGTACCAATCCAGGAGCTTGGACCGAGTCAGTCGGCCACTTGGATCAGAGAGGGAACCTCCCCTCAATAAGGAGATTCAGTCAGGCAACCTGCCACATGTTATGACTCTTTCCGTCCTAATGTGAGCCATTTTCTCCTCGAATGAAAAAAGAGATGGATTGGTGAAATGGTAGTGGGTGGCACTGCTGTCAGTACAGTGCAACTGGAGTAAGTCATAGAATCCCCACAGTATGGAAACAGGCCATTCAGCCCAACAAGTGTACACTAGCCCTCCGAAAAGCATCCTACCCAGACCCATGCCCCAACCCTGCATTTCGCATAGCTAATGCACATAACCTACATATTTCTGAACACTATGGGTCATTTAACATGGCCAAACCATCTAGCCTGCACATCTTTGGACTGTGGGAGGAAACCCATGCAGACATGGGGAGTATATGCAAACTCCACACAGACAGTCATCTGAGGCTAGAATCAAACCCAGGTCCCTGGCACTGTGAGGCAGCAGTGCTAACCACTGAGCCACTGTGCCGTCTACACGATGGGTTGAATAGCATCATCTGGTGGTGAGTTGTCCTGAGCAAGTGAGTAGGCAGTGCAAAGGTCATGCATGATTGGCAACGTTGGGTGTTGAGTGAAGAAAGCTGTTGCATGCAACAGTGATAGTGGCAGAGCATAAGCCTTGGTGGGAGGTGGGTACAGTAGCAGAGATAGGGTTGGTGACTGTGAGGTAGCACGGAGAAGATAGTGAAGTGGAGATGATTATTGACCTTCCTCCTATATTGCTGGGCATTCTTCCAGATGGTTAATACCACATAGGCCTGAGTGGTAACGTCATGCTGGGCTGGCATGGAATGGTGTTGTGGCCTCCTCTGCCAATCCTAAGTGAAGAGGATAGCCATCCTTTGCATCATCCTGATCACTCTGCCTGTCAGGATCTCTAAGAGATGAGCCAATTTCCTCCTGTCTGCCCTGTCTGGAGTAAATGTCAGGAACCATGTGGGGCAGCTCCAGACTGACAGTGCTTGTCTGGGTGCCTTTTAAAGATGGCGTCAGTGCTAGGGATACCAGTCTATTCCATGATACCCCGGCAGCTGCGTGTTCTTTGGATATGGCAGGTGGTTGAATTTGGTGAACACTTAATGACAGCATCGTCATAGAATCAGGACAAGTAATTAATATGGCAGCTTTGGCCGATATGATGAGAAATCTCATTGGGTCTTATATCATATTTGGCATAAAAATGTGTTTGTGAAACTGCCCATAATTTTTAGGACCATTCAACCAATAGTACAGATAAAACATCGTCAACCTGAAACATTCATGATGTTTCTCATTTTTGAGATGCTTCCAAATCTTCACAATATTTCCAATATTTTTCATATTTATTTCAGTTTTATAACATCCACAGTAACAGTCTTCTATTAGTTGCCATGGTATTCTTTTAATGGGTGCATCTATAACTGCTGTGCGTCACCAACCACACAGGATGTGATCTGTATGCTCTTGTGGTAACTGAGCGATTTTAAGAGTATCAAGATCAGACATGTTAACTAGCCTGCCAGAAACTGTTGCATTGTATTTCATCTCTTCAAATAAACTAACCTATGTTGAGGTTCTATGGCAATGTGTGAGAAAGCTTGAAGGCCTAAACCTTGCTTCTGGGCTAGGACGCCCATTTCACTAACTTGCTCCAGTGGTTGCTATCACAAGTTTGAACAGGTTTATTTGGAAAATAGCCCATGTTATTGACTTATGAATCCTCTGTGTGCAGCCAGTCTATTTGTGTAAGGTAAAACAATTGCAAAAGTGATGTTTTGAAGATTTTACAAAACCATAGAATCCCTACAGTGTGGAAACAAGCTATTCAGCCCAATAAGTCCACACCAACACTCTGAAGAGCATCCCACCCAGACCCATCCCTGCACTTCCCATGGCAACACACCTAACATACACATCCCTGGACACTATGGGTAATTTAGCATAACCAATCCACCTAACCTGTGTATCTTTGGACTGTGGGAGGAAACCCACACAGACACAGGGAGAATGTACAGATTGCACACAGACAGTCACCCGACAGTGGATTCAAACCCAGGTCCCTGGCACTGTGAGGCGGCAGTGCTAACCACTGAGCCACCCCTGAAACACATGCAACAAGTTTCAACGTGAAAAAGCTTGAAGGCCTAACAATTCAATTAGTAGTGCCTGCTACACCATAGAAGTCATTGCATGGGGAATTCTACAAATTACAGGCTTCAGTAAACCTTAGACGTGCATGGTCCATACATCATATCTTGTTTCAACAGGGAGGTATCAGGCAAATCTTCATCAATGGACTGCATGAGGTATAGCATTGGATAGATCTCTATTAATGGAGGCAATTACTTCTGCTCTTGGTCACCAGGTCAAGGATCTGAGGTGGGGGGGTGGGTGGTGTGAAGGGGAGTGGAGATGGGGACAGGCAAGGCTGAGGTAAGGGGCAAACGATACATTGGCAGCAAATCTAAGAAAGATACCTTCAAACATATGTTTCCAATACATTTAAGATGGTAGAAAAAGACCTTCCTCACTATTAAAGAACTTCTTTAAGCATCAAAGCTTGTTTGTGCTGAGTCATAAATTTGTGGGAAGGGCTCAAATATGTTTAGGATGGCAGCAGCAGCACTACCAGTCCTAAATCTACCAACAAGCAGGAACAAGGGAAATCCTTCATCTCAATCATTAGGATATTGTTGACAATTGGCATTACAACAATAAACAATGTGACAACAATAAATCAATCAATCAAGCAATTAATAAAACAATCAATCTTAATCACAAATCCTCCAGCTACTCTGCTGAGATCTGAACTCGTGGTCATTGAGCAACTGAACTTCAGCCTTTGGAACACTGAGCTTCCAACATTGCCACATATTACAACTCCCACTGGATAAGACTGTTCACCCTGCTATACTGTCTGATTATCTTTTTCAACGGTATATATAGATGTGTAGCAAGTATGAATGAATTTCACAATTTCTTCCAGTGCTATAAAGTGCTGCTTTCTATTGAATAATATCACCATGAACAGGGGGTTGTGGAACAATTAGGGCAATCAATTAGGATTGATTGTTTTATTAATTGCTTGATTGATTGATTTATTGTTGTCACATTGTTTATTGTTGTAATGCCAATTGTCAACAATATCCTAATGATTGAGATGAAGGATTTCCCTTGTTCCTGCTTGTTGGTAGATTTAGGATTGGTAGTTGTATCATGGCATAAGAGCATAGGGGCGACTAAAAAGTCATGTTGAAGGGTCAGTCACTGGATTTTTTTTAATGTGTTAAGGCTTTATCTATAGCTTCTGAATAGAAATCTTTCAGCTGGAGTGCTGTTTGGAAGCTCCATTTAGTTGATGCATAGATCATTGAAGCTTTACAGTGCAAAATACACCCTGGCTTTTATCATCTTCCTCCATCTACTTCTATGTTATACCAAAATGTAATGAGAAACTTTTAATGATCAGATACCAGAAGATGATGCAAGATTTAGTGAGAGGGAAGAACTAAGGGAGATCAATATTAGGAGAGAGATGATGCTGGGAAAATTGTTGGGATTGAAGCCCGATAAATCCCCAGGGCCTGATAATCTACATCCCAGAGTCCTTAAGGAAGTAACTTGAGAAATAGTGGATGCATTTGTGCTCATCTTCCATGATTCTATAGACTCTGGAACAGTGCCTGCAGATTGGAGGATGGCTAATGTCACTCCAATATTCAAAAAGGGACATAGAGAGAAAACAGGGAATTTTAGGCCGGTGAGCGTAACATTGGTAGTGGGGAAAATATTTGAATCTATTGCCAAGGATTTTATTGCGGAGCATTTAGAAAGCAGTGGCAGGATCAGACAGAGTCAGCGTGGATTTCTGAAGGAGAAATCATGCTTGACAAATCTGTTGGAATTCTATGAAGATGTAACTAGTAGAGTTGACAAGCGGGAGCCAGTCGATGTAGTATATTTGGACTTTCAGAAAGTGTTTGACAAAGTCCCACGTAAGAGATTAATGTGCAAGATTAAAGTGCATGGGATCTGGGAAATGTATTGAGATGGACAGGAAACTGGTTGGCAGTGCAGAAACGAACAGTAGGAATTAATGAGTCCTTTTCAAATTGGCAGGCAGTAACTAGTGGGGTGCACAGGGATCGGTACTGGGACCCCAGCTCTTCACAATATATATTAATGATTTGGATGAGGGAACAAAATGTAACATCACCAAGTTTGCAGATGCTACCAAGTTTGGTGGGAGGGTGAACTCTGACAAGGATGTAGAGATCTGTCAGCATAATCTCAACAGGTTGGGTGAGTGGGCAAATCAATGGCAGATGCAGTATAATTTGGATAAATGTGAGGTTATTCACTTCAGAAGCAAGACCAAAAAGGCAGATTACTACCTGAATGGCTGTAAATCTGGATAGGTGAATGTGTAGCAGGACCTGGGTGTCCTTGTGTACCAGTCGCGAAGGTAAGCACGCAGGTACAGCAGGCAGTAAAGAAGGCAAATGGTATGTTGGCCATCATTGTGAGAGGTTTTGAGTACAGGAGCAGGAATGTGTTGTTGCAGTTATACAGGGCTTTGGTGAGACCATACCTGGAATATTGCATGTAGTTTTGTTCTCCATTTCTGAGGAAGGATGCTCTTGCTCTCAAGGAAGTGCAGTGAAGGTTTACCTGGCTGATTCTGGGGATGGCGTGTCTGACGTATGAGGAGAGATTGACTACGTTGGGATTGCTTTCGCTGGAGTGCAGCTGAATGAGGGGGGATCTCATAGAGACTAATAAAATTCTAACAGAACTGGACATGGTAGATGCAGGGAGGATATTCCTGATGGTGGGTGTGTCCAGAAGCAGGGGTTACAGTATGAGGATTCGGGGTAGACTATTTAGGACTGAGATGAGGAGACATTTCTTCACCCGCAGAGTGATGAGCCTGTGGAATTCATTACATAGGAAGTAGTTGATGCCAAAACATTGAATGTATTCAAGAGGCGACTAGATATAGCACTTGGGTCGAATGGGATCAAAGGTTATGGGGAGAAAGCAGGATTAGGCTATTGAGTCGGACAATCAGCCATGATCATGAAGAATGGCGGAGCAGGCTCGAAGGGCCAAATGGCTTCTTTCTGGTCCTATCTTCTATGTTTCTATGTTTCTATGACCTCCATAGTCAATAACCCCTGTTTGTAAAAGATTGTAATAATATATTTGTCAATCCTTGTAATTGTTAACATTTTTCTAAAAGGGAAATAGTTAAACTAATCATGTTGGATAGTCTTTGTATCAAGAAATATCATTGAGAAATTAACCTGTCCTGAATCAGAACATACCTCTGAAAATAGTCCTCACATGTTTGATAGACCTTGTCATGGAAGACACCCATTGTTGACACCAGTTGGGTTTTGACCTCGGCTGAGCAGGCGATGTAAAACCCAGAAAGGAAGTAGTGTGACACAGCCACTAGTGCCTCTCTGGGCCAGCGACTGAACCAATCCATAGTGCAACCAGAGATCAGACCAGGGAACTTCATTGCACGTGATCGAAACTTTTCACCAACCTAGAAGCAAAATATAAAGAACAGTTGTCTTCGAAATCTACAAACAAAACTTAGCACACTGTATAATAAATATTCACCCTTTCAGAGGCAAAGAAAACTATCTGATTGTTTCACATTAAGAATTATATTTAAACATTATTAATCATTCTGATCAGAAACGACTGACTTGAACTGTGTGAGCACTACCATCTTCATGGTTCTGAATTCCCGATATTTTGCTTTTGCCTTAATGATACATTGCCTCAATTCATTAATGCTTGCAGGAGGTAGATTGGATTTGTATTAAGTAGATCACATCAGAATGCTAGAGATACATTGGATAATCCTCGAAGGTATGTGAATAATCCATGTTTGTTCCTCAAATTGCAGGGAACATGCAAAATTTATTCTGCTAATTTTAAAGATAGCTGCATATAATGAAGAGTCCCTCGTTGTTTAGTGGCTGTGGGTATTAGTGAAAGGTCTGATATCACAATTGTGAAGATAAGTTAAAGGAAATCTGTATCTCTGAAATACAAAATGCATCATGGCTTCAAAAGGCAACGGTAGAAAGCGAGAAACCTTTTTTACTGCTTGGGGAATATAAGATGTAAACTAAAAATTAGGAGCCAGCCTTTCAGAAGAGTAACCATGAGCAATTTTTATATACAAAAGATTGTAGAACTTTGGAAATTCTTCTGAAAATGGTAGTTCATATGAGTTAAATTGCTCACTTTAAGGTGGACATTTCTGCTAACCTGGTGTAATAAAGGTATATTGGACAAAAACACGTGTATGAAAATAGATGACAGACCAGTCATGGGGTAGAGTTGTAACATCTGCTGTTGTGAATTTATAGATGAGAGGCCATAAAATCCTGCAAGCTGCCCTTCCACCATCCACTGACTTGCTTCTGATCTGGCAACGATTTTACGGGAGATTGATGAGGCTAAGAGCATCCCTCCCTCTCTGCCTCCCTCCGTCTCTCCCTCGCTTGGTTCATTGAGGTCCTTAAATGGCCAATTAATGGTCATGTAAGAACAAGCTCCCATCTGGGCACAGTTTTTCTGAGATGGGTAGGCCATGAGAATCAGCAGTAGGTTCCCACTGACCCTTTCCGATGGTGTTGTAGGAAACACTATCATCTGAAAATTGACACTAATTGCATTAAATTTTGGAACAGACTCAAAAGACTGAATCACCTACTTTGGCTCTGACAGCAATCTTCTCTGAAGGAAAGATAGTAGATTGCAAAATTGACCCTATGATTTCTTCAACAAAGAGGAACTCAGTTAATCTTTGGCCGTTAGATTTGATGGTTTGCTTCTAGCCATGTGACCAATGACACAGTTTGATTATCATGGACCAATCACAAAGAAATTGAAACATATGCTTAGAAAGATAGAACTTTTTGTTCAATAGAAAACCAAGTTAAAAACAAATACTGACGGGAGAGAAACAGAGGACAACATGAAGATTTTTCCTGGCTCTTTTTATAAAATATTCATATAAGTTGTCAAAAGTTGGGGGAATGCGAGGTGCTTCTTTCTTCATTGGTGCAATCAGTGATTGAGTAATCTCATCAAGTTCATCCCGAGCAAATAAGTTAGACACCTATCAAAAAAAATCAGACAGCAATTTAATTGTGCAGTATTTCAGATTTATATTGGCTGCACTCTTATCTGCTCAGATAGTTGCCAAATTGACTCTCTAAAATCAGCATTGTCAATTTATGTTGGACAAATTCTCTGAGTTTTCATTACATAATATCCAACAACCAACCTTTACACACCACCTACTGTTGATCACACAGTCTGTCATTTCCTGCTGCACATCTTATTCTCATGGTGATTGGATACTGAACAAAGTCTTTGTCTGCAATCTTCTATGGTGTCCAGCCTATATGCTCGGCCCTCTGGATACACTTTTAAATCTAAAATAGTGTGTTTGTGTGGTCACAGCTAATGCCATCTTGGAAAGGGTGTAAGTTAAAGCATTGGCTGCAAGTATGCTGAGCAAGCAGCAGGATATCAGTAAGTATGTGGTGCAGAATTATCTCCAGAATTGCTCATTTCAATGCTGTAGCCATTGTCCTCTTTTAACCTTTGTTCAAAGTTGTTCAACATCAGGAAGGGCCCCAAGCAACACCACCATCACTCATGGTATTTAAAGGGATCATTACTCACTTTCATATCTGTTACCAACTGAGTTCTACCAGCTCTTGCTTTGTTACTTTAAGTGTTTATATCAATGAATTACATATATGGACTAACGTGACACATAGTGAAGGTCTTTGTTTTCCCTTCAAGGGTTCTGCTCCCACTGTTTCATTTCATGAGCCCTGACAGTCAAAAAATAAGTAGGAAAGCAAGTTGCGAGGAGGACACAAAAAAGATGTGAAAGAATATAGACAGGGTAAATAGGCAAATACTTGGCAGATGGAGTGTAATGTGGGGAAATGTGTGTTTGTTCACTTTTCTAGTAGAATAGAAGAGAATAAGCAGGAACAGAATAAAAAAGCAAAGCATTATTTAAATGGATGGTACAACATGCTGCAGCGCTCTTGTATTATTATGTACACAGTATGGAATACAGCTCTCTAGTGAAATGTTTAAAGCCATTTTATTTACCTGTTTGTTTGAGTCCAATGTCTTTTCTCAATCTCTTTTACTGATGTCAGAGCCAAATCATCAATTGTATTATCATAATTTTTATGTTCTATTCTATTACACCTACATTTTTTGATTCATAACCAAGTCCCTCCGTACCTTAGCATTCCATAGTCTCTTTATTTAAATAATAATATGTTTGCTTATCCCTCGCAAATTACACTTCACCAGACAAATTAATTGAACTTATCTCATGCCGCATATATGTTGGGTTATGGCTAGGACAAGGATTCAGCTAGTTACAGCCACAAGATATCCGTTTTAACTTACGTCAGGAATTTGTGATGCCTGGTATCTCAGGAAAAGATGGGATAATTAGAGGTGGTGTAGAAATAAAATGAGTTGGGCTATTAATGGGATTAATATGCATGGAAATAAATGAAGCCAATAGTGAGATTCTACTGTCGCCATTTAAAGTTTGGAAGAAATGTCACAAAATTTGTCCTCAGTTTTGAGAATTTTGATATTTTAGTCCGACTGTAATTTCCCAACTTTCTTGCCATTCTGATTTCTATGTCCTTCCCATAAATTGCTGTCCAACCTATCAGCAAATTTGGCGATGATACACTTGGCCCTTTCTTTAATTTGGATTGTACACAGCTGATGTCTCAGGACTCCATCATTTTCATTTGCAAAATTGTAAACTATCCATTGATCCCCACTTTCTATTTTAGTTTAATTTGAAAATCATCTATCCGTGCCAATACATTACCCTAACACTATGAGTAGTTATCTTGTGAAGTAACTTTTCCTACAGCACCTCATTTAATGCCTTATGGAGAGTTAAATACGTTACATCTATTACTTCTCCATTATCCATCTTGCCTGTTACATTCCCAAGGAATTTTAATAAATTTGTCAAATGCAAGGGCAAGAGGCAAATTAAGGTGGTCCTGCTTGAAGGAAGGAGTACAGCCACAGCCGTGCTCAGCTGGTCTCAGGAATCACAGGAAAGAAGATTGTACTTATCATTAGCAACAATGTGTTCCAACCTGCAGCAAAGGAAATAAGTGGGAGAATATTGAGAGGAGTTAAGGAGATGGTACAGTGCTGGACATATTTCTGGGAAGCAAAGCTGGACAGCTGCTCAAGGTGGCAGCAGGGGAGCATTTTATTGAGAAAGATCATAACACTGTACATTTTAAGTTTGTTACAGAAAAGGATAATGATGGTTTGCAAACAAGAGTTTTGGAGTTAGCTATGATGGATTAGAAATGTTACTGAAAGGCATGATAGTGGATAGGTAATGGCAAATGTTCAAAAAGTGAATGGGTGAAATACAAAAATTGTTTATTCCTGTCTGGCACAAGAATGGAAAGACAACAGTAGCCAAACCATGGCTTATGAGGGAAATTAGAGATAGTATTAGATGCAGAGAAGAGACATACAAATTGGCAAACAGAAACAACAGACCTGAGGATTGGGAACAGTTTAGAAGTCACCAAAGAAGGAACAAGGGATTTATTAAGAGGGGGAGAATAGAGTATTAGAGTAAGCTTGTGGGGAATATAAGAGCTGACTATAAAAGTTTCTATAGGTATATAAAGAGAAAAAGATTGGTGAAAACAAATGGAGGTCCCGTACAGTCAGAAAATTGGGGAATTTATACTGGGGAACAAAGAAATGGCAACTGAACTAAATTCATACTTTGATTCTGTCTTCACAGGTGAGGACACAAATAAGTAGCACCAGAAATGATGGAGGACACAGGGTTTAGTGAGAGGGAGGAACTGAAGCAAATCTGTATTAGCAGAGAAATAGTGTTGGAGAAATTGATGGGATTGAAAATTGATAATCTACACCCCAGTCCAACACCGGCACCTCCACATTGAGGCATCGGTTGTGGGGAAGATAATAGATTCCGTTATCAAGGATTTTATAATAGATCATTTAGAAAACATGGGTAGAACCAGATGCAGTCAGCATGGATTTACAAAAACGAAATCATGCTTGACAAAGCTACAGGAATTCTATGAGGATGCAACTCATCAGGGGGATCCAGTGGATGTCATAGTGTCATAAAGTTGTACAGCATGGAAACAGACCCTTCGGTCCAACTCATCCATATCGACTAGATATCCTAAATAAATCTAGTCCCATTTGCCAGAATTTGGCCCATATCCCTCTTAACCCATCCTACTCATATACCCATCCAGATGCCTTTTAAATGTAATTATTCCAACCTCTACCACTTCCTGTGGCAGCTCATTCCATACACATGCCACCCTCTGTGTGAAAATGTTGCCCCTTAGGTCCTTTTTAAATCTCTTCCCTCTCACCTTAAATCTCTGCCCTCTAGTTTTAGACCCATCCACTCCAGGGAAAAAAACCTTGTCTATTTACCCTATCCCTGCCCCTCATGGTTTTATAAACCTCTATACTGTCACCCCTCAGGGAAAATTGCTCCAGCCTATATTCAGCCTCTCCCTATAGTTCAAACCCTCCAACTCTGGCAATATCATCCTTGTAAATCTTTTATGAACCCTTTCAAGTTTCACAACATTCTTCCTATAGCAGAGAAACCAGAAGTGCACGCAACACTCTAAAAATGTTTACCACAGGGATCAGAAATAGGACCCCCAGCTATCACAACATATGTTAATGATTTAGATGATTTACATGTAGTATCTCAAAATTTGTAGATGACACAAAGCTGGGTGGAAGGATAAGCTGTGAGGAGCATGCAGATATATTGCAGTGTGATTTGGACAGGCTAAGTAAGTGCAAAAATGTATGACAGATACAGTATAAATAATGTGGATAAATGTGAGGTTGTCCACTTTGGTAGCAAACACAGGAAGATAGATTATTATTTGATTGGCTGTAAATTGAGAGAGGGAATGTTCAATGAGACTCTGATGTCCTCATGCACCAGACTCTGAAAATAAGCACACAGGTGCAGCGGGCAGTAAAGAAGGCATCTGTATGTTGGCCTTCATAGCGACAGGATTCAAGTATAAGAACAAAGATGTCTTGCTGCAATTATACAATATTGGTGAGGCCACACCTGGAATATTGTGTGCAGGTTTGGCTTACTTATCTGAGGAAGAATGTTCTTGCTTTAGAGGGAGTGCAGCAAAGGTTTACGGACTTGACTCCTGGGATGACAGGACTGACACATGAAGAGGCTGAGTCAGTCAGGATATATTCTCTGAGGAGGGGTCTTATAGAAATCTATAAAATTCTGAAAGGACTAGATAGGTTAGATGCAGGAAGCGTTATTCATATGATGGATGGAATAACTGCACGGAGGTTGGTATCCCATCACCAAGTCACCCTTTATTTAGGCCAGCCACGTCAGAGTCAGTCCCCTGAACTGAGGAGATTCTAAATCTCCTGGTTATATTGGTCAGCCAGGGATTTCCTGCTTGGCCCAGGTTAACAACCCCAATCAAGGATCGCATAGTCAACAATATCCAGCTGGTTCCAATCACTACAGTATGATAGTTCAGAACTAGGGGTTAGAGTTTAAACATAAGAGGTAAACGCTTTTGCATGGAGATGAGGATAAATTTCTTCAACCAGAGAGTGGTGAGCCTGTGGAATCGTTGAGGCCAACATATTATGTTCAAGAAGGAGGTAGATATAGCTCTTGTGGCTAAAGGAACCAAGGGATATGGGTGGAGGGTGGGATAAGGGTATTGGATCTTGATGATCAGCTGTGATCATATTGAATGATGACGTAGGCTTGAGGGGCCGAATGGGCGACTCCTACTTCTATCTTCTTGGAAAGGCTACTTATGGGTAAATATTCAGAACGGTGAGGTGGTGGAGGTGGGGGTGGGGGGGCTGCGGGTGGTTTCAAGAAGGAAATGGGGAAGAGTACAGAATCAAAACATTCCCTTTGGGGTGAAATGTAGGAACAACCCTGGATGTCCAGGAATATTCAGGACTAGATGAGAAGGAAAAGAGAGGCATTTAACAAATATAAAGAGGTCAAATCAA